AGTCCGCTCGCTGCTCGACGTCTGCCCGAACCGCAGAAGATCGCTGAGGCGCGCGATTTCGGCCGAAACGCAGATCTCACCTCATCCGAGCCGTCGAAGAAATTTCCCGATCAAGGAGACAAATTCGAACAACTTGAAAAGTCAGATGGCTCCTAATGGGATCAAATCGGGCTGAATCAGACTAAAATTGGCTAAGGTTGGGTTAAGCTCGAGTCCGAATTTGACTCGATCCAAGTCAATTTGGTTCGAGCCGGCGCGACGAAATCGAACTAATCGAGCCTAATTGAACGGATCCGACTCGAGTCGGGTCGGAAGAACTAATCGTACGAAGTTAAGCATAAAATCGACAATAATTTCGATCAATTTAAGCTCGACGTGGTCGAAACAAATCAATCAAAGTTAATCGAGTGTAGTCGGGTTTAATCCGGCTCAAGTCGAGCCGATTCGAGCTCAAATTAAACTCGACGAGGCTCAATTAAATTGATCTAAGCTCCTTGAGGCTACTCGGACGAAAAACGAGGTCAACACACCTCCTCCACCCATATTAAGTTGTGATGACGTACTATATATAGAGACTTTTTGACTTTTCATCAATTATTAATTTTTTAACATTATCAAAGTATAAATTTTCAAGATATGGTGTTCAACATAATTGGGCTAAAAAATTATTTTCTAGATATTATCATATTGGAGAACAAATTTGATAAGACATAATATGGATGTTATACATATTGAGAAGAATTTTATGAATAACATTTTTAATACAATTATGGATGTTAAAAGAAAGAGCAATGATAATGTGAAAACTAGAATGGACATTAAAGAGTATTGCCGCTGATGAAATCTAGAGTTAGTTACAACCAGTGATGACAAAATAATGAAGCCCAAAGCACCTTATTCTTTCATGTTAGAGCAAAAAAGATCAATATGTAAGTGAATTTAAGGTTTAAAAATGTATGATGACTACGGATCAAACTTAAGCCCATGTGTAGACCTTAAATCTATAAGATTATTTGGACTAAAAATTCATGATTGTCACATAATTATGAAGGTTCTCCTTCTAATCATTGTATGTCTGTTACTATATTACATATCGAATCCTATTGACAGAACTTAGTATTTTATTTAAAGACTTATGTTAATCTAAATTAAGCGAAGATGCTTTACGGAGGAGCGATGATAACATACCAATCATCCTATATACGTTAGGAAAAAAAAAATTTCCTATAATTTTTTAATTTTATGAAACATCTTCCAGTCCATATATCTACCTTAGAAGCTAGAGTTGGTGGACCTGTACAATATTGTTGAATGTATGCTTTCAAGAGGTGAAACATATTTTTAATATATTGTCTTAAATATTTTTAATGGTAACTGATCATAATTGTAATTATTTAGCAGATATTTGAACAAGTTGAAAATATTATGCTGGCAATAAAACTCATGTATTATATCTTTCCTCCAGAGTTCAATTGAGCTCTATCTCCCTCTCTTTGTCTCCCCCTCCTTAGATGGCTTGCTAAAATCTTGCAAATCCCTTAGAATATGACTTTTTGGCACAACTACAAACATATTTGAATTGAACAAAACAAAAAAATAAGCATTTCTCTCACAACTCATGCTAATTGGAATGATTTAATATCTACATGCTAGAACTAATTCTAATTTTCAAAAATCCATTTCGTTTACATCTATCTTCTATATTTGATTTGTTAATTTCTTACATTTTAAAAAGTTTTAATAATTATTATAAGTTTATTTATTAAAATTATTTTACTATTTGAGAATTTTTCTAAAATGTTTTGAAGCAAATATATTTCATAATTAGTGTCAATTGAAATGTTAATCTTCTCTCACCTTTCTTTAAATTTCACAACTCATGGTAGCTAAATAAAGAGTTTCTAGTAATGGTAAGTTGACTAATCACTCAGGATATGGATACATAATGATTAGATCATGCCTTCATTTTCTTGAATTCTTCACCAATACTATTTAGCCACTTAGAGCCAATTCATTCTTTTTTAATTTATAAAGGTCAAATCCTTCGATACACCTAAGCTTAAAATCACGTACAACACAAACATATTTTTTTATCAACATGCAGCTTTCTTGAAGATTTTGAATATTTAATTCATCTTAAGAATAATATTATTTTGAGAAGTTTAAAAACCAGAAACATTAAAAAAATAAATATAAATTGTTTGATTAAAAAAACATTCATTAGTTATCTCTCTATGAGATATGATAAGATTAGCTAGTCATATCCCTTAAACATCATTTTTGCCTATTCTCTAAGTGCCTCTAATAAGTACTGCTTACAAGTGTTCATAGAAAAGTTTATTTATTGAGTAATGTGGGATAATATTTACTTATAATTTAAGCTGATTATGAATTTATAGCCCAAGATTTTACTAGGATTCTTGAGTGGCATGCCAACACATATTCCATCATAGATAAATTTATAGCTCAAGGGAAATAAAATTCTGTAGATTCAACTGTCAAAATGCTCATAACCACGTCATTCTTACCCTAAGGGTGTTAGCACCTTAAGGAGCAATCAATTCCATCTAAAGCCCTTAAGAATGAGAGATTATTACATGCGGAGTATAGACCGATCGATGCTGCATCCGGATTCTATGAGTGCACACAATAAGAGTGTAATATGCACAATAAGTATGCTTTTACCATGCACAGTGAGATAATCCAGATGGGAGAACCGTCCGGACTCCACACGTAATAATCTCTCGTCATATTATCTGAATTTCAATAAGATCCGGTGAGGAGTAAATTATTTGTGACAAGGCCTTCATTTTTTCTCAAAATCATTATCAGTATTGCTCGTTATCATTATTATACAAAAAAAAATGTAGGCTTCGTTGGGCAGTTTCATCTACCACACCAAGCCTCAAATTAGTCTGCTTTAATTATAGAAGCAGCTTTAGAAATCTTCACCAACCAACACTGGCATGGCCTAATATCCAACCACCACCTTTACTCAGCAAGCTATGAATAGAATTCTGCGTCATCACTTTTATTGATGTTTTGCTTTCAAATTTCACAACGTCTAGAAGCAGGGAATTAGCTTCTGAAAAATAATGAATTTCATTAAATTCATTAGTAATATTGATTTTAAATTTTTATAAAGCTTTAAATTCAAGTAAATGCTTAGTAGGGGTGACTTAAAGAATGAATTTCATAATTAAAGTTTATCAGGATTTTAAATTTGAAGTACAAAATTATTAAAAAAAATATTTTAAAATTATATCTCACTTTCTTCTATTAACTAATTTTTTATTATTTACTTTTACTATTTTATTATAATGAATGCTTAAAACATAATTATTTTTTCTGTTTCGAAATAAATGAGCCACCTCGAACTCATCGAAGAAAGCTTGACTTCGAGCTCAAACTCAATAAATAATCCAGCTCAAGCGAATAACTTAGGCTTCGTTTGGGACGGCTTTTTTATTGCTTTCTAAAACGAAGTTTTAGTAAAAAATAAAAAAATTTGTACTAAAACTTCGTTTTAACTCCGTTTTAGAAAGCAATAAAAAAAACGTCCCAGACCAAGCCTTAAGCCTTAAGCTTGACTGCACAGGTTTACATCCCTACGGTGCTTGGTATCTAAATCATAAAGAGCTGTAACCTAAGACTACGAAAGAAAGTGAAAGCTCTACACAACGCACTCCCGGCTATAGGCGGATATTTGAGCTTTCAGAAAAGCAGATTAAAATGACAAATGGTCATTTAAAGTACTTTACTGCCACAAACCAAATTTCATCCATTAATGCAAACACGCCAACCTTATTAAACTGAACCCTCCTTTCCGCCAAAAATACTGAAACTTCCATGTGCTTCGCTGTTTCCACGCAGCCCATATTTATTGAACCTGCTGCTTTAAATATTCCAACATTAACTTTTCTTCTTTCTTTTTTATTTAATAATGATAAAAAATAATGAAGATTTATATATATAATATTCAAAACTTTATATATTTTTGAAAACTTTCAAAACTTTATATTTACTAAACTAATGCATGTGTACTTTGTCCTGTCTGTGCTCAAACATGCATGGGAATCCCTATATGATGAAGAAGAAGACATCAACCAAGTGAAAGCCAACGAAGAAGAAAAATATGCATGGGTGGCAGAAAGTTATATAGAAGAAAAGAGTAATCTTTTGATTGTTTGATTTGCGAAAAAAAAAAAAACATTATAAAAGGAATGCAAAGTAAAATGAAATTTAGATGTTCGGTTTGATGAAAAAGAAGTACTGTGTTAATTTCCGATAAATTTCTTTTCAATCCATAGGTCATTTTGGATGTTATACAAATTCAACCAATTTTGTTGACCAAATGCAATTTTCATCAAAAGTCAAATACATTATCACCTCGGTCACTATTGTCAGCCATTGTATTAAATCTTTGGCTTGTTGGGTTTTTATCGTCGATTTGCTCGATTCAACTATAAGCTTGCCCTATTTATAGATTGTTTGGTCATCCATTTAATATTTTGAACCTTCCAAATATGCATTAGTACCTTTATTTGGAACCTAATGTGTTTGGATTGGACCGATTGTGATGTCATTGGGTTCATTTTTTTCGAGATGTTCAATTTGAATATAACTCTGCTGAAATCAGAGTTTGGATGGTCCCAAATTTAATTTTGAAAATTTTCAACTTGAATATGTCTCGATATTCTTGTCCCATCAACACGGTTTTTTGTGAAGCATATGTTAAACAAAATTAAGTAATACATGAATAAATATAAAACAAATAATATTATGTTATATGTTATGTAAATAAATCATTCAAATATGGATCATAAACTTTGTGCCTTCCATCTTGAGAAATAATAATTTATAATATTCTTTATCATAAATACTTTTATAATATTCGCTCATTCTTATGGTAACCCAAATATTGACAAAGAGAACCTAACACCAAACCCAACCATCATAGGGAAAGTCCTTCCATGAAAAAAAAAAAAAAAAAAAACCAAACCAAACCATCATGATTCGACAAGTTGGTAATTCTCTATTTCGCTTTTTCCTCCATCTTTAAAAGGACCACATAGAAGGAAGTGTTCACAGTTGCAGTGGCTGTTTGGAGCTGAGTACTTGGCGAGCGTAATGGCTTCCAGACCTGGATTGCTCACAGAGTGGCCATGGCAGAGGCTTGGCAACTTCAAGGTAATATGATCCATCGGTCATTTTTCTTCCTTATTTGCTTACGAAAAGCTTTCTTCACTGAAAAGTTTTACCTTCACTGGTTTGGTTCCATCACTTTTTTTTGCCTTTCTTCCATATATTACACTTTGCAGTGTTACACGCCATGAAATGATGCAACTAATAAACAATGATCTATCTTTGCTCAAGTGGTATGAAAAAAACTTTCTATTGTCAAGTGAAAATCTCCCTATCATAGGGAAGGATGGATAGCTGTTGATCATTTTTGTTTACATGGATCATGATGTGTGAGGGACGGAGATCCATCATTCCCTCCCTCTAGCAGGGATTTCCCTGCATAACATCTCCTCATTTTTTCTATGCATTGTTTATTTACATTTATAGCAGCCAAGTAAGAAACAAATTTGTATATATCCGAATATATACTTAAGAAAATATAAAAATACTTTCAAATAGAAACAAAAAAAAATGGTAGCCTGGGCAAATTTTTTCTTAATATAAATTTTAAAAATTCATTGCTTTTGAACATTAGTCTTACAGAGAGAGAGAGACAAAGAGATAGAGAGTGTTTTAAATATATTTCTTTTCGTCTTCTCTTCATAAATTACTCATAAAGCCGAATTTACAGACTTGATTTTTAATAAAAGCCTAGGCATATAGCAAAAAAAAAAGCAATTTTTTTAATTATTTTATAAAAATATCAACAACATCAAGCTTTTATCACACTATGTGGGGTCAGTTCAATAATTTTTTTTTCTATTATGTCCTGATAACAGTCAACTTCTGCTTTAAATCTAATAAATTAAATATTTTAATGTTTTCTAATCAAATATTTTTAAGTCTTATCTTTAATATAGGCCAGATGCATTACACATATTCTCCTAACCGGGGGATCTTAGGAAGGCCACGCTATTTTTTTTTTTAATTTAATGAAATAAAAATATTTCTTCTTGTTATGCAGTACGTGGTTGTAGCTCCATGGGTGGCTCATAGTTTCTACTTACTCGCAACAAAGGATCTGAAGGATATCCACTTGAATTACATTTTAATATTCCCCTCCCTGCTACTGAGAATGCTCCACAATCAGATATGGATCAGCATTTCTCGCTTGCAAACTGCCCGAAGCCCTCATCGCATAGTAGACAAAAGTATAGACTTTGAGCAAGTTGATCGTGAGAGAAACTGGTAAGCCATAACCCAGCGTTTAAATAAATTCCACCTTTTAATGATATGCAACTGTGGTTTTTTTAAAAGTTTTAAGAAAATAATACTTAAGAAGGAGGTGATTTGAAGTGAGAGTGAATGACACTAAGATTTTGTTTGGGATGACTTTCTTACTACTTCTTAAAACATATTTTTGGTAGAAAAATTTTAATTTTTTATTAAAAAGCTGTTTTAAGAATCAATAAAAAACCGTCCCAAACGAATAAGTCTAGTTTGGGCTTAATTTCAAAAGAAAAAGTTGGTAATAAAGCTTGGAATTAGCAAAGTGATCCGGAGTTATTTCTCTTATTGGATCATTAAGCTCAATTTTGTACTTATTAGTCATCCTATTAGTAAATTGATCTCGACCGATTTATTATATTACTTTTTTTCCTGCTTCCAAATTTTTTTTTTTTACTAAAAAACAACTTTACAAAGTAGTCCAAATGAAACCTTTAAAATAGGGGAAACTATTCTGTGCGGACTCCGAACATAGAGAATCATCTGTATTACTGTGTATTTGTTGTTTATTTATTGCGTATTTGTAGTTCACGCAGTAAATACTTAACAAATTCTCAGTTGTGAATATTTGCTTAGTATTTAGTGAGTATTTAATGAGTTTTGGTTGAATATTTACTGAGTATTTATTAAGCATTTACTTCATTTTATTAATTTGCTACCTACTTGTTGCTTATTTACTGCGTATATAAGTAACAAATACTCAACAATCCGGACGATTTTCTAGGCCCGGAGTCCGCAGAATAATAGACACTATAGTCCACGAGTGGAACTTTTATTACGTCCTTTGACCGGATGTAGATCTACGTTCGGTCAGAGGATTGTTGCTCGGTTTTTGCTCGGTATTTGATCGGTATTGCTAGGTATTGTTTGGTAATAACGAGGAATACCGCTCTGTGAAGACCAATACCGAGTAATACCGAGCAATACCGAGCAATTTTTTGATATTACTCGGTATTGCTCGGTATTTTGTCTTCACATAATGATATTTCTCATTATTGTCGATATTGCTCGATATTGCTCGGTATTTGCTCGGTATTTCTCATTATTGTCGGTATTGCACTAATGCCGGCCGAACGTAGCTCTACGTACGTTCACCGGACCAAAATAAAAGTTCCCACGAGTGGCATGTTGGGTGAGAGGTTTTGGCTTTTTCACTAGAACTATGGAGACTAATTAACAACTGCTTTGGCACTTTAAAAAATGAAAGTGTACTTTCCATGATGTTGAAAGTGAAGAATAATCTACTTCCTCCAATGCAAGAAAAGCCAACGAAGAAGCTCGCGAGGTCGAAGCAACAACAATGCAGAAGCAAGCCGAGGCAGCAACTACGAAAAAGCAACATATGACGTGAAGCCGATCAAAATTAATCTAATTGGCTTAATTATAGAATTTGAATTAGAAATAATTAATTAATAATATAATTCTGAAGTGATTAATTAGATGATTAATAGTATATTTAATAACACTTAAATAATTAATTAAATCATTTATAGTCGGTATTAGTTAAATATTTTGTTATTTCAAACAATAATTAGATAATTATCAATATAGTTAGTAATCAAATACTTATGAAATTAATATCTAAATAAATAATTAGATAATTAGTAATTAAATTATTTCATAATTAAGCTAGTTTCTAATTATATTATTTATCAATATAACTTATTGACAATAATTAAATTGAATTTAATAAGTAACTCATAATTAACATATAAATTAAATTCAAAATACAAATTAAATTTATGTTTTTATTAAACTAACTGCATTAAATCCAAGATTATATTGGCAAATAGTTTCATGATTTAATAGGATTTAACAACTATTTTGTCAAACAATTTTTAAGACTTAAAATACTCCGAATTTATTAAATCCAGATTTATAGAATTGATTAAATCCTGATAAAGTTAAATTCTATTTCTTGCCAAACGGCCCCAAAGATTTTGAATATTATTTAAGAAAAAAAATCTATTTTTTATTTAACTATTACACTAACATCTGTATAGTACATTAAGTTTTGTATTAAGTCTGAATTTAGCGTTGTTATTTTTAAATTTTCACACATGATGATCGAGGCATAATAATTAGTCCTTTTACCTATGCAAGCACAATGGGAAGCTTTTTCCCCTTAGTATTCATTAATGAACACTTTCTCTTGAATGTCAATTATTTTTGCTTTTTCCCTAGTTTTGGAAGTTTGCAAAACTATTTGTAGGTGAAAAGAAAAAAATTTTTTTGAACAGTAACAATAAATGTAATAGGGAATGAAAACCGAATGATTTTTATTTTGCACTCAACAAATTTCTTTTGTTTAATAACCTTAAGATGTGAAGAGCTTTTAACCAGCGAGTAAATGGCAGCAGTTGATAATCAGAAAATTTACAGAGGAGAAAAGAATAGATCAGCATATTCTGATATATTTTTTATGAATATGTATTAAAAATTTGAGGTGTGGTCATTTTATTATATTTGAGTATTATAAATCTCAAAATTTTAATTTACTAACCATTCAAGAAAATTAAAGTTTAACTATCCAGGAATGATCTTTAAGAACATGGAACTTTAGAGGCTTTTTTACTTTATGATCAAATACATGCTTACTTGTAATTCAGAAATTATGAACATTGTGAAATATCATAAATGCCATTAATGTTCATTTCATGAATAACAGGGATGATCAGATACTATTTAATGGGATTCTCTTCTATGTGGGATATCAAATGATACCTGATACGGCATATATTTCGGCGTGGAAACTCAATGGTGTGATTATAAACATTTTATTACATGCAGGACCAGTTGAATTCTTATACTATTGGTTTCATCGAGCACTGCACCATCATTTTCTCTACTCGCGTTATCATTCTCACCACCATGCCTCTATTGTCACTGAACCAATCACATGTAAGTTAAAAGATTTGTTTTTTTCATATGGTCCAATTCTATTATAGCTCAAATAACTTGATTTATAGGTAAAAGCTTATGTGTGGCATTCTATATATTCCTTTTAGTAAGATAAAGAACTTCCTAACATTATGTTTCATTATTGTATGCGTTTCTTCATGAACAATATCTCTCCATTCAAGTATTTTTAATGTATCATAAATATTGTTGGGGATGTCCATGTTAGATTTATGGCAAAGCCATGAAATTTAGGAGATAAATTATCACCAAAAATATACTGGTTGATTATAAGGTGTTTGGTGCAAGTTCTTATACATTTCTTATACTATGAAATCAGGATGTTATGATTAGAATCAATATTACTTTATGATGATTAATTAGGGATTCGTTCAAGCAAATAGATAAGCTTTGGCTTTTATGTGATTATTAAGCTTAATCATCAGCATTTGCAGATACTCGTGATGTTTCAACATGAAAATTTGATACAACATCAATACGAAGTAGTACAAACGCATTAAACTAGTGATTCAGTGCATTTAAATTAAAAATAAAAGAAATACTTGCTGACTTTTTCAGCTGGTCCGTATAAGTAACCAAGAACTGTAGAAAGAAAATTCATATTATCTACCATGTTAGTTTGGCTATTTTTAAAATTATAGATTGAATATCACAAGAATCACCTCATGTGAACTTCCTTCATGATGTTCTAAGTTCTTTATTTTTGTATATTATTAAGCTTAACTGTACCTAATTTCAACTTCTATTGTCAATTGCAGCTGTTATTCATCCATTTGCAGAGCACATTGTTTACTTTCTGTTATTTGCTATCCCATTGCTGGTCACAATTTTTACTAGAACAGCCTCCATGGTGCAATTCATAGGATATATTTTCTATATTGACTTTATGAACAATATGGGGCACTGCAACTTTGAGTTGGTTCCAAAGTGGTTATTCTCTACCTTTCCACCATTGAAATATCTAATGTACACTCCCTCGTAAGTATTCATCCTTACATATGAAGTAACTCTTCATGTAAAGAATAAATTTATTAGGACTCTTAATTTCATTATTTTGATACACCATAATAAAGTAATTATTTCTTGTTAATGATTGAGTATTAATAAGGTAATAATTAATTTGATGCAGGTTTCATTCTCTCCATCACACACAATTTCGGACAAACTACTCCTTATTCATGCCATTTTATGACTATTTGTATAATACAATGGATAAATCATCAGATGAGGTCTATGAAACCTCATGGAAGGGAAAGAAAGAGATAATAGATGTTGTTCACCTCACACATCCAACCACCTTGCAATCAATATATCATCTACGATTAGGAATTGCATCTTTGGCTTCTAAACCACACAAATCCAACTGGTATGACTTGATGATGTGGCCAATGGCATGGGTGTCTATGGTATTCACATGGTTCTATAGTTCTTCCTTCGTTGTTGAGAGAAACAAGTTGAAGAATATCAAAATACAAACATGGGTCATACCTAGATACAAATTCCAAGTATGAAAATCATCTAACATTTCAAAGATGATATTGTTCTCAGATAATTCTGAGCAACTCACTCACTTGCTCTATGTGTGCAGTATGGCTTGTCATGGGAGAAAGAGGCAATCAATGATTTGATTGAAAAGACTATTTTAGAGGCTGACACCAATGGAGTTAAAGTTCTGAGTTTAGGACTCCTCAATCAGGCATGTGTATTCCTTTTTCGTAATGCTAGTTAAGAAATAAAAAAACCAACAGCATGAATGAGAAGAAAAAAAAAGGCTTTAATAGTATAGGAAATAACCAAAAATAAATAAAAATAGTGAACATCGTTGCATCATATATTGCATGACATGTAAATATCTATAAATTTCCATAATTATGTATTAGCTAAATCCAAATTAATGCATTTTTTTTTCTATTTTCTGAGTTCATTACCATCATCGTAATCATCATCTGTATCCCAACTTATTTAGTTGGCTTTTTTATATGTTCATAGGAAAACAAAAATGCCTTAGTTTCTTTCTGTTCGAGCTTTAAGTGCATGCCTTGTTTTACATAGTGAGCTTGGCTACATATTTGATGAAAATTTTAAATTAACTTGGCATTTTATTAATTCATTTGTAGATTAACTCAATAGCATAGCCCCTTCGATTTTAAAAAACTCTAACAAAGTGGATCGTCAAAACATAAAGATAAAATAAATAATATAACTATATTTACTTTTTTAGAGAATACATCCTAATTGAATTGTTTCTAGTAAGCATGCAACTTTAAAGCTTCCATTTAGCAGATAGCAATTGACTAAAACATTTAATCCACTAATAGTTTATCAAATAAATTCTTTACTATCTTTAATGAAAGAAAATCTGTTGATTCTTTCCACTTAATGACATCATTATAATAACCAAACAAATTTGTTGAAGGATAGTAAAGAAGTAGAGCACTATATCCCTTACACATTTTAGTGATTACATACACATACATACAAAGAATATATATATATATATATATATATATATATCCTTATTGATAAGTTTTTTTTTTTTTTTGGTTAAGTTAGAAATCTAGTACATATAATTAGCTAAAAGTAGGTGACATGTCAGACTCAAACCACTAAAATATACTATGATATGTAAGAAGCAAATCATATAAATTAGAATTATTGGATTATTTATATGATTATTGACTTCCAGGCAAAAGAAATAAATGAAAGTGGTGAGCTTTATATTCAAAAGTATCCAAAGTTGAAATTAAGAATTGTGGATGGAAGTAGCTTGGCAGCTGCTGTCATTATCAATAGCATTCCTAAAGGTACTCAACAGGTTTTACTAAAAGGTAACATATCAAAGGTTGGTCGTACAGTGATCCAGGGCCTATGCAATAATGGTGTGAAGGTAAATCCAATCATATAAACTTATATTATTGCAAATTAAGCTCAATTTTACTCTTATACATTTTCTGCTAATTACACTTAAGCAAATATGTGCTAACTAATGCTAGATGCACAGGTTGTAATGACTAACAAACATGACTATTATATGCTGGAGCCATTCATGCTAGATACAATGGGAGAAAAGCTTCTGCTTTCAAACACTTGTATGCCTCAGGTAATGAGTTTCTTTTAATCTATAGGGGGAGAATGGTTCTTATAAAATAATTGCTAATAACTAGCCAAAATCCATTAGCATCACAAACTTCATAACATTCACAATGAGAATTCAAAACTAAGTGTTCGATACAAACAATTCAACGAGATGAGGCAACCAATATTCTTATATTCCTACAATCGCAAATATATGGATAAAACCGATTGCGAAACAACAACATAAATAAATGGAAAATATGTTGATAAAATAATTTGTAATCATATTGATAGCCAAATTTGTTTATGATCTAACTATTTTTTCTTCAGAATTTAATGTGTTTTTACGTTAAGGTTTAATTTTCATTATTTATTTGAGAATATTACATCAAAAGCTAATCTCTTTTAGCAATCCCAAATTTGAATGCTCCTTACACTTGTGATAGCTTAAACTATTAAAATGAATATGATGATTTTTTTTTTTTAATCTTTTTAAGGTTTGGTTGGTTGGAGATGGTCTGGATGATGCAGAGCAATGGAAAGCGGAAAAAGGAACAACTTTCATTCCATTTTCACATTTTCCTCCCAAAAAAGTTAGAAAGGATTGTCTCTATTACAGTACTGCAGCCATGAAGATTCCAAATGAATTACAAAACATACACGCATGTGAGGTAATATGGAAATTTATACAATGAAAAAAAAATCAACAATTTAATGTGGCTACTTGGCCTATGCTTGGTTGGTAGGATTTTGGGTGAAAAGAAATGAGTAAAAAAATTGAAAACTTCAAATTAGTGCTTAAAGATTCTTAATCAACCAACATATCATTTGTATGATTTCCCTTACTTTTCTTTAGTTCAAACAAATTTTATGAAAATATCATTTTTATTTCATTAAAGTATTATACCTCACTGCTAAGTGCAAATAACAATGCAGAATTGGTTGCCAAGAAAGGTAATGAGTGCATGGCGCATTGCTGGAATAATTCATGCTTTAGAGGGATGGGATGAACATGAATGTGGTGATACAATACTTCAAGTGGACAAAATTTGGATGGCCGCACTACGACATGGGTTCCTTCCACTACTTAATGAGTAATAGATTTCATGGATTGAGAATGTGTTATAAGATACATGTAGTAATCATTAGTATTCAAGTTTTTAAGGAGTAATGAGAAATATATGTCATCAAAATGGAAAGGAAGATAATCACTTGAATTTATGATAAGAAATTACTTGATTAGGAATGTGTATTAAATGATGCATGTATAGGATGCCTCATTGCATCCTGAAGTTTTATCTTAGATCCATGTTAGTGAGAAGCTCATGTAGCGATTAAATTCTTATTATTAACATATTAGTTGATATTGAGGAAAACATTTCATTCTATGAACTGGTAGAACATTAAGAGCATCTACAAGAAGGAAAGTCATAAAACTTCGCTATGTTTCTTGTGGAATTAACTGTTATTCTTCATGTATCAAGGAAATAAGAGCAATGGTTTAACATTGGAATAAAAGTGCCTATTAAAAAAGGATGATAAAATTTTACATAGAAATTTCTCTAAGGTCTCATTTGGTTTCTTAAAGTTAGAAAACATTTTATAAAATATAACAAATTTGCCAGATGTCATCATTTGAAAAGATGTACTTGAAAATCAATTTTATTTTTAAACTCTAAATATATCTTCAAAATAACACAAGTGGTGATTTTATTTTGACACACAAATAAAAGTATTATTTTCTAAATGTATTTAATATTTCCAAGAAATCAAAAAGCCCTTAAGGGTAACACCGAGTATACCTAAAATGAAGAAATTTTGGGAAATCAAGCTAATATTGTTAGGATCAATCTCAGTTGCCTTAACTTTTTGGTTCTTATATGCACATGCATGCAATTAAATAATGCATATAAAAATATTATGTTTTATCTATGAAACTTTTTAAAAGAAAAATATATGTATAGCCCAATTAAATAACCTATACTTTTATAAACATAACTGCGAGTTATAGTTTAATTTGGGAGTTAGATAATCCTTCAATAGGGTCTATATTTACCTTTTTCAAGAAATTCTTTTGAGAAATAGAGATGAAGTATATGGAGGAGATTTAAAATAGCTTCGAACTCAAGACCTATTAAATAGTAGTTAAAGCTCCCAACCAACAGACTAAGGTGAGTTGTGTGTCAAAAGGAAGTGGAAAAAGTCCTTGAAGAAATCCATTCAGAAGTATATATGTGGGCTCCGAAAATTCGGCCCCGGCCTCCCCGCCGCGCATTGCTGTTTTTTTTTTTGGAAAAGGAGTTTTAACGGAATTAAGTTCCGGGGTAAATTTTGGAAGGCAGATGGATTTGTAGATAAGACATTACCCAGAGATTTCGCCCTCATTTTGTGAGGACTTTATGATATGAGTTCTGGTTTCCTATAGGCGTAAGCCCATATAGTTAATTACCCCTCTCGATAACGAGAGAAAACTTTCGATTAAGGCTAGTCGTCAAACGGATACATAGAGAATACGTGGTATCTGACATATAGTAGCAGCATGGGTTGAATGATTAGAAGTTTGAAGGTTTGAATGTTTGGAAATTTGGATATTTTAAAAGATTCGGGGATTTGATATTTAAAATTGGAGATTGCACCATCTTGTACTTAAAATGGATGATGGGGGAATGGATGATAGACTTGATCAAGATCCCATGGTTCCGTCGTCCTGGGCCGTCGTTGTGAGACCTCGTTCCTTTGCTGTAGCTGCTGGGAAAAGTGATTTTTCCCCAGGATCGGCCGGGACGATGGTGAGATCGTCCAGGCCGATCAGTGTATTGAAAACAGTTGATTTCTGGAATGTTCTCTGGAGTGATTTCTGGACTGAATCGTCCGGGACGATGGTGAGATCGTCCAGGCCGATCTGCACTGTAGAAAATATCGTCCTGAGAATAGTTCTGGGAGTCGTCCAGGACGATCCATTTTGGCCTGATCGTCCCGGGACGATGTGGCGATCGGCCGGGCCGATCCCACTAATGATATAAGAAAATGAGCTCGTTTTGAGGAGAGAGAAAACATTTTATAAAAACAGATATTTTGAGGAGAGAGAAAGGGCGGAAAGCAAAGGAAGAAGTCCGATTTCGGGGCCCGCGGAGCGATTTTCGTCGTTCGTTGCTGTTGGATATTTTGTTTGTCTCGCTGTAAGGACTCCGAACCCTATTTCTGTTTTCAAAGATTTTGAGATTTTGCGAAATGGTGCTCAGATTTGTGTTTTTGTAAGTGATTTTCGTACCCGGTTTGGTACTGGCAAAGATTTCACCGCATAACTTTTGGTATGTTGTAGACGTGATTATTCTGCACGTTTTGATTAGTTTCTGGCAGATTTCGTCCGGTTCGTTTTGGTTCTGCGGAGTTTTATTTTGACTGCAATTTATTATGATGTCCGAATTGGTTTGAGCAGTAGAAGAATAGTCTTAGAATGTTGCTGTGCACGTTCTGTATTAATTTGGTGAATTGTAATTTTTGGAGATTTTTGTGTAAATTTGACCGACTGCCGTTACTCTGCCCGATTTTCGTACGATTTCTGATTTGGTTGAAATTGATAGATTGAATTGATATGCGCATAACTATTGATATGATCGTTTTAGATTTCTTTATTATTGATTATTGCATCGATTATTGCATTGAACTGATTGATACTGAAAGACAAGTGGGAACCTGGTTGAACGTTGGTTGGAGATAGATATTGACCTGTACAGGATGGTGGGCCGACGGGCTTTCCTTTAAATCATAGACCATAGATCATCGATATAACGATTGGGAGTTATAAGGAGTTTTATATGCCGACGGGCGGCCGACGGGCAAAAGAGTGACGACTCTTCTTGATAGAACCAACGTGCGGATATCTACAACAGCAATACGGATTCTACAACAGCACTATTGATAATAGCCAGTTTACCTGGTTGATCATAGCTAGTGTTTGTGCTTGTCGAGTAAGACCATTGTATGGAATTGCATGTGCATCATATGGATTTCCTGATATGCATTGATTTATTGATTTGATGGATTTATCGAATTGATTGCTTATCGTATTTTTTAGTTTGTAAATTCAACCAATAATATTTTTTATCGTAAAAAAGGGGAAGATTATTACAACTCGGTCTCTCAAGTTTATTCATTTTTTATGATAATAAATATTATTGATTGCCTCTTTATTTTTCCTAGTATTTTTAGCGCATATTTGTTTGTGTCTTAACTATCATTTTAGGTACAACTTGCACTATTCTTAGAAGATTTAGAGCACAAGATTGGGTAGAATATATTATGTTGAAAGAGTCTATATTTTTATTTATTTATTTTTAATTTCTTGAGTCAAGTCTTGTATGGGTATATGCTAGCCTGGTAACCATGCACAAACACACAAGGTGAGAAAAAATAATTTTAAATATTTTAATTATTTTAAATAAAATATAAATTAAATTAAAATAGCTAAGCTTTTATAAATTAATTTAATTATTCTATATTTTATTAAGCTTATTATTTAAATATATTATTTATTTTAAATTTAAAATTTGGTCATTATAATTTAATTAAAAAAACCTAGCATTTTTATTAGTTTTGCAACATTGTTCTGGTGGTAACTTGGTGAGCGTGCGTATGAGGGGTGCAGGGTTCGAATTCCGCCTGGCTCTGGAGTGCGGGCAGGTCAGATGTGTGCGGGTCATGTTTCGGGTCGCGCTGGCTTGAGCTAGGCGACGCGGGTGGGCTTGCTGGGGGGTTTGGGCGGGGTTGTGGTTGGCCTGCAGTTGGGCAACCTATGGTTCAAGCTTTTTTTCTTCATTTTCTTATTTTTCCGGTAGAGTTTATATTCGCCGGAACATTTTTGACGAATTTTCTGTCAGAATTTCACCGGAAATTGTTTCGACGGAAAATTTTACACTGATGACACTTTTCCGACGTGCGTTGAACCGGCGTAAATATTTTCTCCAGAAATTAGTATTTCTTGTGGATTTGGCCATTTTCTGACGAAAAATAGACGCCGGAAATTGATGTTTTTCCTGTAGTGGCTCATACAGGATGATAACCACCTTTTTGGCACCCAAGAAGCCAACATCAGAACTCTTAGGGAGACTACCGAAGGAAGACCTAGGGATAACTTTAAGAAGGTCACAGAAATAGAATAACAAGAGAAGAGGGCAAAGGGGATCTGTTTCAGATGTGAAGAGAGGTATATGCAGGGGCATAAGTGTAAGGATCGAACTCTTCATGTTCTTATTGTTTGTGATGAGGAAGGAATGGAGGAGGGTGTCGTCTTTCCACCTTGTGAACAAGGTGGATCTTTGGGAGCGGAATATTGTTAGACCGGTCCAGCAGGAGCAGCTTATGCGAACAACTGTGGAAGTCTTCGCCTCCTGTACGCAGGATCTGACCGCCCGACCTTCCTAGAACAGATTAGAAAGGATTTTTGAGGGAAGTAGGAGGGAATATTTTAGATCTACAAGTGTTTCATATCATCTCACTTGGGTGTGATGACATAATAATTAGGACATGTATAACTACCCCTCACAGATAATTTATGGATGCACTCAGAAGGATTATGTGCAAGTGAATGTTTAAAAATATATACAGACTAATCTAATGGTTAATTTACATCAGGATCATGCAAACCAGCAATACAATGTAAGAATTTACAAAATGACATCATAAAATTTTTAGAATTCTCAAATAACCGAGCAAAATGTAATTATTAATTTTTTTTCTCAATGTCTAAAATCAATATGTTGAAGATGGAGAGAACTTCATGTTTATAAATGATGGTACCTATTACAGTATGAATAATGCAAGCAAGATGAAGCCAATCAATTGAAGCCCTCAAGGCAAAATAAAATGAATGGACCAAATATATATAGCATTGGACATTCGATCAAAAGAAATTACTCATTTTACTTCTAATATGTTCATAAAGCTAAATAAACCCCTTCTTGTCAAGAATAAAGAAATGATCCAACTAAAACTAGAAAATGAACGGGCTTACAACATTAGTACTTCTACCAATTTGATCAAATTCAACTGAAGAATTTTACATAACAAAACGTTTTATTCTTTTTTGTTTTCTGGAAAAGCTCAGAAACCAAAAAAATTTAAAGCTGTGCATACAATCTTATTTAAGCGCCGCATCCAAACTATTCTACAGTTAAGAATTAAATAGCTGACATTAGCCAATTTTTCAACTATTCTACAATCCATATCAATTATGAAACTGTACGTGCATCCAAATTTAATCATAGTGTGCTGTCACAAACTAAACTTCTCCATTAACAGAAACAAGCTAACCTTGAGATGAAAAATTAGTATCGTTAAGGACTGTTCAAAACTAAGACATCCATGTGCTTCTCTGTTGGCCAGGCAGCCCATATTTATTGGTACCAACTCCTTTAATTTTTTTTGTTTTTTCTGAGGACCACGCCAACTTTGATTAGAAATGTAAAGTTTGAAGAAGAGATTTAACGAAAAATAAAGAAATAATTCAAAGTATTGAC